CATATACCTGTATAGAAAGGTTACGAAGCTCGAATCCTTCAATTGTCAATTTTGTCCTACTCTCTATACACTTAAGATACACACGCCAAAGGTCTCTATCTCGCTGAATACAGTGGATGTTATCTCCGATCTTATCGTGAATCGCCTCATAGAAATCAAAATCAGTAACCCTGTTATTCTGATCAGATTGAAGATCCTTGTTCTTCAGATAAATTGGCTTGAGCATTATGTTTGGAACGTCTGAAGTCATGATTGTTAACAAAAGGCTTACCCGAGAAGTTCTCACTCGTGAACTCCGCGACACGGTAAACAATTGTATACACACATACAAAATGCAAATTTTCACAATCACGTCGGAAAATCGCATAGAAATTGGCTGAATTTGTTTATCAATACCTCTTATGTAGTTTAGTACACAAAATAAGGTTTTAAAATCCCACAAATAACTATAGAATTGTCAAAAACCGGAGCAGGTAAAAAGAGCGTCCATCTACCTGACCGTCACGTGACTTTCTGTTTACATTCCACTTTTAAAATTTTAGCATTGAAATAAAAAATCCTAACAAGACAAAGAAAACCTATGAAAAGTAAAAGATTTCCAACTACTCATCAAAGTTCAATGCTTTGCTTTAAAAGTATAAAACAGTAATTTTCGACGAGTGCATTTCCTACCTCTCTAAAAATTATTAACCCTTTGTGTGCGGGAACCCAATATATTGGGTCTGACGTCATAAACGCTACCGTGCGGGAACCCAATATATTGGGTCCGAGTTTGGAATTAGCACTTCGTAACATAAAACGTTGTATAAAACGTATTTATAAATGAGTTGTGAATTACTAAAAATCTATCAATATGTATTATAAAACTACAATACATTGAAAAATAGGTAATTAAGATGTGAAAATATGCGAATTATTTATGAAATTGTGATTTGAAGTGAAGGTGTTGGCTTTTGTTACGATGCAAGTCAGTCCGCTATTTTTGGAAACAGGGAAAAAACGCGCATGTAATAAATATCTACGAAATTGCTCTAATATAAAGGAAAATAAAGAAATAAACCTCAAAAATAGTTAAATATCAATAATTCTAATAAATTTGTGCTAGTAGACATAAAATTACTGAGAAATTGTCGATATTTTAGCAGAAAAAACTCAGGTTAACGTGACTTGACCTTAACCTTGCGAAGTTCTTCCTGTTAAAACGAAAGTAGGGTGCACATGCTACTGAATTTCAGTCTGAAGCATATCGAGAGCTTATATGGTCAGCAAAGTTTTATATTTTGGCGTTTTGTAAGTAGACATGGACATTACATCGTCTAAATGAAAACAATAATTTATCAATAATGCACGAGATTGAACCTGGCAAGCCACAGACGTTTTCATTTTCCTCAGTCATTCAGTGGCTGTGCATTTTGTTTACATACGTAATTCAAGCTTTGCTTTGAAATAAAGGTTGGGAAAAAAAATTGAACCATCATTTATTTGTTTATTTATTGTTAAAAAAACAAACGAATACTCTTAATTGATAAGAGTGTTTGTTTTTTTAACAATAAATAAACAAATAAATAAGTATAAACATTTTTTTTAATCTAAAGACCCATTTAAAAAATGTTGAAAAATAAAAAAAGGTTTCACCTAATAAAAAAAAAATGTGGAGGACCTTGAACACTGTAGAAAATTTTCAGATGCGTTATTGCATTAATAATTAAGTGCCAAAGAGATATATATAGAAAATATATATCCATCAACATATTTTTGTGATCTAGCAAAATTAGTTCATGATGCATGCAGGTATTGGAAATATACACATGAATTATAAAAAAAAAATGACAATTATGGAGTCAATTAAGTGGCCCTAATTACACCTTAAATTTCTGGTTTGAAGCTGCTTGATGTTCTTAATATTTGGGAAAACTTTCAAATATTTTTTATAATAGTATAATAATATATTGTAAAATTTTTAGCACAATTAAAAATTAAAAACTTTCAAATATTTTTTATAATAGTATAATAATATATTGTAAAATTTTTAGCACAATTAAAAATTAAAAACTTTCAAATATTTTTTATAACAGTATAATAATATATTGTAAAATTTTTAGCACAATTAAAAATTAAAAATAAACTTGATATTTTCTAGTGTATTCAAATGTAAGCTAGTTCTCCACACTAAAACTGTTTACTTTAAAAAATCCAAATAGTATTGAGAAGAAATAAAAAAAAAAAACATTAAGTAACGTATCAGAAAAGATGCATTGATGCATTCAAACATGTGCATATACATGAAAATGGTAAAAAGTAATGAAAAAATTTTGAAGTGCTGATTTTCCCTGAAATGTGAAATGACTGTCATTTGTTTAAACTGTGGTATTTGTTTTATTTCAGTAAGTATAAAAAATACCATTTTATTTCCTTGATGAGGATTATAATATAGACTCTAAAAAATTTCAAAACCAAAATATGTTCCGGGATCTTTGGTATCTTTTATAGAGTTAGATTTCTTCAAGGCATTTACATACTCTAGTTTGCATGGAACCTAATTACTACGTGAAAATAATTGGTACTTGTATCAGAATTTTTTTTTTCTTAACCAAGTAGAAGTATAAGTTTAAGTATCAGGGAGACATTTTCTTTTTCTTTAAAATAGACTTTTGCCAGAATAAAGCATGTGGATTAAATTGCACATTTTCCCCACTTTTTATTTCTATTTTTTTAAAACCAAAAACAGTGAGACTGCCCCAACCTATACATGCACACACAAAATTATAAAATTCACTGGTTAAATAAATGGTTACTCTACAGTTTAAAATTAAGATGAATTGTCTTTTCTGTAGGCATATGAAGGAGATCATTGCAGTCTTTAAAATGAGTAATTTGTGAATTGTATGGACTTGCATGTACATCTGTTCAATAAATTACAATAAAAACTGGGTGATAGGAATTGTACTTCTCAAACTCAAAAGTACACACTGTACATGTTTTTACCTATATTAATTTGTAATATGTCCTTTAGTTTACAAGTTTATAAGGCCCAAGATGCTTCTACATTTCATCCCTTCTAGATATGTAAGATAGGTACATTTGATATAAGAGATAATCATATATGCCTCAATTAATACAGCAAAAAGCTAAGATTTACTGTGAGAATTTTTTTTTAATGATGATCCAGAAAATTTTTCAAAAACGCAAATTCCTATACAGTTATTAATCAACAAAGATTACATTTTGGTCTCCAAAGATATGATTCTTTTTAAATATGAAAATGTGAATAGTTACTAAGAATACAAGGAAACACCATGGTAGAAATAAAATATATTTTATCATTAGGAATAATATTTTATTTTGAAGTAAAAATTCAGGCACATTTAAAACTTGTAACAGGTAAACTTGGACCAGGAATTGAACCCAGAAACCCTGCTTCAATAGTCAGGTGCTCTAGCGAATGGGCTACCCAGGTTGATACCCTTAGCATAACCATTACATATCCTTTCCTAAAATCATCTTCATCCTTGCAGACCAAACCAAATTATAGTTTATATTACCGGGGTAATTAGCCCCTGACAGGACTTTCACTTGCAAATCCTGAAGGGTCAATAGCATCAAATCTGTAACAAGGAAGGAGAAAATGCATGGCTGGACCATGAATCAAAGAAGGGACCCATGCATCACTGGTCAGATGCTCTACTGACTGAGCTTACTAGGCCTACATCCATGACCCATACCATTACACTTGCATAAACTTATAAGTATTTCATAATATATTAATTGATATTACAGTACATATCTGTCAACCATCATTAACTAAAATCAATTGAAAAAAATTCAAAACTGTTATTCACCAGTGACCACAACGAAGTAATTTTTGAAAACCATTATTAAATGACTGTTAACGGTGCTTAAATTTCTAAAATTTAAAATTCTAGTTTTCCTGCTGGCAATAATTGTTGCCAGTTAGGAATAAAACTTCTAAAATAAATGCCACATTTCTTACAGAGTGAGAAGTATTGTGGGAGGAAAGTCGATGAAAATATGTTAACTTTACAAATAACATGGTGAATTACATTTTCTTCAATAAAAGCACAATAAAAAAAAACTTAAAGTGATATGAGAATTACTAGAGTATATTTAGGGCTGTTAGATACAAGTCATTAGAAAATAAGACCTCAATAACTTAGTGTAATTAATATGTTATTTTATTTTTTTTTAAATTTATTTAACATATTGACTGCTTTTATTTGAAAATGAATACTAGTAACAGCAATTAGTTCATTGTTGTGCTAATTTGCTCCAAGATTTCCCGACCTCGAAAACTGCATATTCTTTGAGGATCATACTTTAATTCTTATACGATTGCCAATTTTTCTTAAAATAATCACTGGTTTTATGTTTACAGACTAATTGAATCATCAATTTATACTCTTTTCAGTAAAAATCTGAAAAAAATTTAACTTAACTTAAATCAGAATTCACTTAAACCTACATGAATATATCCCTTACTCAGATAAGTATACAATGACTTTTCACAACATAACGGTATATAAAACAATAAAACATTGACTTTTATAATTGAGTTATTGTTTAAATTGAATATTTTTTTTAACATAATATTAAATCTAAAATTGAATTTTAAAGCAATTGGATATTTTTTTTCATCAAAGTGCAATATTTTCTTTGAAAAATATAGTTAAAAAGCTAAAAAAAATCATTTTAAAATATATTTTTTGAAAATTTGGTTTCCATGGCAACATAAAATATTAGATTTAAAAAAAAAATTATCAATTAATAAAACACAACATTTGCTATATATTTGCCAAATTTTAAGCAAATTGGTTGTCAACTATTTTAGATATTTGCATTTTAGTACACCATTGTGATAATTTTGTTGATATTACAAAACAACTCAGTACTGATGTTACAGTGCGCGTAAAACAAGTCAGCACACAAAGGGTTAAGATGTTTTCAACAGAAAATAAAATTCTCACACTCAAATGATGACTTACTAGGTTTTTTGTCCTTTTTCCTGGGTTTTCCTACAGTTTCCTCCCTTTGAGTGTTGACAGCTGCAGCCTTGGCAACAGAGGCCATAGCCGGTTCTGTGTACGAGACACAGTTCGTTACCACTTCATCATCTGAATCAGATGACTTCTGTATGGCAAGCCCTTTTACTATTTATTCGTAAAATAAATTTTTCTTTCAAAATGAGAGATATCTCTCTAGCATAGAGAGATATCTCTTTAGCTTATGGAGATATCTCTTTAGCTTATAGAGATATCTCTTTGACTAATAGAGATATCTTAATACTTTAGAGAGATATCTCTTTCAACAAAAGAGATATCTCTTTTTGAAAGAGAGATATCTCTTTTAGTAAGAGAGATATCTTTATAAGCTAGAGAGATATCTCTTTAAACGAGAGAGATATCTCTTAAAGTTAGAGAGATATCTCTTTAACAAGTTTAAAAGAGATATCTCTCTTAATTAGAGAGATATCTCTTCAGATTTTCAAAAAGAGATATCTTTCTACGCTAAAGAGATATCTCTTTTAATGAAAGAGATATCTCTTTTCCAATCACCCTTAAAATAAAATAACTAATTCTCCCGTTAAAAACGAAAGCGAAACAGGAAGTAATGTCTGTTAAGTCGTTCGTTTTCTGGTTATTGAAAAGAAGAGGATAAAATGGACTGATTGATACAGGTAAACAACGTTTAATTGCTTTATTGTTTTAAGCGAAAGAAACAGGATTTCAAACCAAAACGTCCCCCAAAGATTGGTTCCATATTATATTTATTTCATTTATTTAGCTCACAGGACAGCTGAGCCGGGGATATAGAATGCGAAGTCAATAAAAAACAAATTCGAAATAGGCCTACATGCACCCAATTTCATCGATCACGGGAATACAGCATTGATTACTACGTCGATTAAACATAATCCTGATAGAATTAATGTTCTTTTTTAATTAATTAATACTCCGAAAATAAAAACGTCCAACATTACTTCTTTCATGTAAACAGGGATGTATATATTCAACTTCAATATTAACTGTAGGACGTTAAACGACATACATGTACGATCAATATATTAACTGTAAAGCCTTATGACCCCCTTCCCAAACACAGGCACCTGAAGTATGGATAATACCCCCCCCCTTTTTTAAAAATATTTTTTTTTAAATTTAACAAAAAAAAAGGGGGGGTATCATCCATACTTCAGGTGCCCGTGTTCCCAAATACTCTTACAATTATGAGAAAGACATTTTATTTATAGGCATTAGAAATAGGAATTTTCTTATTTGTCTTAGCTAGAACAATCCCCAGTTAATCCAATGTTGTCACCAAACAGGTCTGCACTGGGTCCATAAGACATTCATCATTCAATGGTAGAACATTTTATCTACATTTGTCATATTTTATAGAGATCCAGGAGGTACTGAAAAAGGGACAATGCTTCGACTGAATGTGTCATCCATGTACCAGTATAGACCTGTTAATGAGGCATATCCAATAATTCTTATACTCATGAAGAGTGCGGCAACTCCCAAGTAGTTAAGGATGGCACTCATTTTAAATCAGGTACAGGATAATTTTTTGGGCTGCACTTTTCTTTACTTCAATATTTCAAACTTACTAGTTAAGTATCAAGTCCACAAAAGCTCAAACACCATGGTGAATCAATGGGCCATAATGATAGTTAAATTTGTCATATGCTTTCTTATTAAATTATCAATTTGAAATTTGATTGGTAAAAAACATTTATTAACAAGTACAATTCTTCTACTGTGTGCCTGTCATCCCAACAATTGCAAATGCACATCGATAGGTTCTCCATGAAAATTGCTAACTGTGCAGAATGGTTGCACATTTTTTCAATGAACGACATTTTCTTAACATTGAATCCTTCAGTATAACAAGACAAATATTGCATGCTTATTTTAATTAATACAATATAAATAAACTTAAGAACAAATTTAAGGATTGAAGTTTAATTTGTATATTTGGTAGTTACATGCGTAATTAGTTTTACATATAAAGGATGTACACAAGCATTTTATAACATTGAAAATATTCAAGAAAGTATTCTCTTAATTTCTTGTAGATCCTCACTTCTAGGATGTTTTCCATGTTCTTGTGAAAAGTGTTTTACATGGCACCATTCAGCTACAAATACTTTGCCGGTGGAACTGTGACATCAATCAACTGCTCATGCCACTGCTAATTGGCAGAATTTCCTTTTGGACAAGCAAACTGTTTCAAATATTTTACACCTGCAAGTTAGTACTTATGAAATTTTGTTTGCAGGAAGCTAAAAGCTAATGAGTATTGAAAATACAAGCCAGATAAAGTACAAAAGTGTTGATACAAGTCATTTAGAATTTTCAATTCTTTGCAGGTAGAGATGAGTGTACTGGAAGTTTTTTTCGGGATCTTGTCCGACATCATAGGTACAACTGGTCACTGTGCTTTCTTGGTTATATAAGCAGGCATATTGTTAAAGCGGTGACACATGTAGCTTCAAATGATGCTTGACTGTTTAAGTGTTTTTCTTTGATTTATAAGTAAACCTGGATTGATCTCTGATGCAGTAATATAGAGCCATGTCCATTCTTTAATATTCCATCATCCCACTGTCACAAAGTACTGAAATAAAAATGATTTTGATTTTAAAAATTTTTGGTTTTTATATGTAACATAAAATTCTACAGAAATTCAAATATTAAAACTACTTCAAAACAAGATGTGTTTGTGAAACAATATGCACCAGGCGGCAACAAATTCAAACAAGTTTTTTTGAGCATATAGGTCATAGTCAAGGTCACAAGGTCATTGGCCTTGGTGTCATTTGAAAGAGCTTAATTAGTGGAGTATGCAAATCAAATATGAAGTCTCTATCTTTAACGGTACAAAAGGTATGGTGAAAGTTCAAAATGGTATTTATAGCATTAAAGTCACATTAAAGGTCAAAAGTTCACTGGCCTTGGTGTCATTTGAAAGAGCATAATTAATGAAGAAGGCATTCCAAATATGATTTCTCTATCTTAATGTATCAAAAGTTAAGGCGAAAGTTTAAAAAAAAAGCTATTTTTAGCATATAGGTCACAAGGTCATTGACCTTGGTGTCTTTTGAAAGAATTTAATTAGTGGAGTAGGCATATTAAATATGAAGTCTGTATCTCTCATGGTTCAAAAGTTATGGTGGAGGTTAAAGTTGACAAAAGACAAACAGACATAGAAACAGGATATAAACAATAGACAATAATTCACTTATTTTATGATTGTGTATATTAATGTGACTGAATTTTGGAATCAATTTGTACAAAGGTTTAGTGTCATTGAAAAAGATTACAAAATATCCAAAAGAACTGTTTTACTTGTTAATATAGAAGGAAGTTGTTTAGAAAATTTTCTTTTATTAGTTGCAAAAAATTTTATTTACTATTCAAGATCACAAGATAGTAAACCATTATTTATTGATGCAGTAAAGTTATTCAAGTATTACAGAAACATAGAAAATGTTGTGAAAAAGTTTTTCAATGTACATGATGTAAGGACAAAATACTCAGTAAATGGGTCCTGTATGATAATGTGTACAACAAGTGATGCAAAAATCAAAATTGTAATTACTCAAGCCCTAGAGGGGCTTGAGTTATCTAAAACGATGCTAGGTCATCGATATATTAAGTTTTAAAACACGAAAATATAGTATTTCAAGGTAGAGAAAAATATTTCTAGAAACAAAAATGAAGCTTATCTTGAAAACTTTTGTATATTCATAGATATTAAGTGTTTAATGTTGGATTCTTTTCTATGGCGTATGAACAACGAGTGAAGCCCCGCAGCCGCAACAGCTTCTATACAGAGATTTTGCGCTTTCCTTAGCGTAGGAATCTCAGGTAACTTTCAGTCGCCGACAAAGCATCCATGGACGAGTCCACTGGTGACTCTGAAAGGTGACGGCAGGTTACCCCATCGTTAACAATTTCTACAATATGCTTGGCCACAAAATGCCCCCCCCCCCCCCCCAACTGATATTGTAACTCACTTGCCTGTAAATGATGTGTACTTTGAGTGACAATAAAATAATAGCACAAAATAAATTTATTAATGATAAATTCTCCCTCATACGTACGTTTGTTTTTCTAAAAAATAGCATTATCGTCAGTTTGGTAATGGAACCTATATAACTTCTTTTGGATTCGTACGGAATATGTATTGGACATGTCGCACAGCTGGATGAATCCGTAGTCACGTGGATTAGTTGCAGCCCGCCCCCCCCGCCCCTCTTTGAAAAAACTTTTCTACAGGCTTGTAACAAGCTGTTTGGATTGATGTATATTAAATGTTGTCATAGGCGTCGGAAGCAAACTGAAAGTGGGTGGGGGCCTAACTGAAAGGGGGGGGCTAAACCAACAAAATTACATAAACCCCAATTTTCAATGCCAGTTCCGACGCCTATGGTTGTGATGTACGTTATTAAGCAAAAAATTCAAAAACTGTCTATAGTTTCAGGCGCGGATCCAGAATTTTTTCCAGCTCAGTCAAAAAAAAAAATCCTATCCCAGAAATTTCTTGACAAGCCAAAAAAACAAGAGTAAAACTTGCCTAAACGTCAAAAACCTATTTCGTGAGGGGGGGGAGGGGGGGGTTAGTACTTTTCAAACCCATTTTACACATATTGATATTCGTGTTTACCAGGGGGGGTCTGCATTTTCCAAGAGGGGTCCATGGTAACTTTTTCCTTGTTTTAGTATATACATTTTTAACCTGGTAAATTCCAGGGGGGGGGGGTCCTGACCCCCCCCCCCTAGATCCGCGCATGAGTTTGAAGTATATTAAATGTCTAAATAAACAAATATTTCATTAAATTGAGAAACGGCAACTATCCCCTATAAAATATTCCTGAAAGTGTAGAACGTAAGTTCATCTTAAAAAGTAGTACGATTAATTATATTCAATATTCAATATATGAATTTTGTTTCAATTACCTGTATTTTATTCAACAGAAGATTGAACTTAATAGCCCTCATCTTATACCATTTTAGGATATTAATTAATGACACTTCCTAGCTGACTTTCTACAGCTTGAGTATCTCTGACGTTTTGTCAGTATATACTTGTTTTTTATTAATTTATATCTACACATTTGGGTACATCTGTTTTGTTT